ACTACCAATTCCCAGAAAACAACACATCAATTACACTAATTTCACTAAAAGAACCAAGATTGGTGAAGAGAGAACTAGCAATTCCCGATTCATTCATTCAAACAATTCCAGCCAAAAAAATTAAGTAAAAGAAACAATTGAGGGGTATTGTTCAAACCCCTAAATTGAGTTTAAACAAACATACTATACCAACTTCTTACATTAAAAATCCGGTGAAAAAGGTGGTTTTAGCAAAAATTAAAACCCCAAAATTGACCTTGGGGATGGTCACTGTGACAATGGTTGATTCAGTTGAGGTTGCTAGAGGGGTGGCGGATGGTACAGTAGGTGATTCGGATATGGTAATAATCACACCAGGGAACTGCACAACACCAGCACACTTACCCAACCTGTCAGACTTGGCTATCCATCCTAAGGTGTTTAAAGTTTTCGTTGAGTGGCTCATCAAAAAATTTGGGGGTGAAAAAGGTCCCGGGTCAGACAAAATTATACCCAACTCCATAAAGGGTGTCATAGATCCTTCCCCCGGTCTGCCCCATGAAATGGAATTGTGTTTGCTGTCAAAGGGGGAACATTCCATCAGCCTACAAAGTTACAGGAATGATTTCAAGCTCTTCATGGTCAATGCCCCATTGTTTGCAACTGAGTTGACGATTGGGTGGTCACCAAACTCAACAAACAATTTAGATGGAAGAATTACTAATGTTATGGTCAAAGTCACAGACCAAGAGATAGTTGACTTGCGTTTCAACAACACAAAATACTTTTTATGGAATTGCAGGGATATGGCTAGGGAGGAATTCGGTTCTTTGTTGATCACGGCAATAGAGTTGCATATGCCGGATGTGGTCATATTAACAGAAACAAGGGTGTCCGTGCACATGGCACGATTAATAGTTCAAGGATTTTTTCCATACAGGGTGTGTGGCGTTTCAAAATTTGGTGATATGGGTGGTGCAATTATACTCACATTCAGGAAGGAGGTTCTGATTCATTTAGAACGTTCAACCACTAGATCAGCTATATGGAGCCTAATGATGTACTGTATATTTCTAAAAAAAAAAAATTCTAAAAATTCTTTAATTTTATTTTAAAAAATATAAAACCTCCCTATGTAGTACCGAAATAAGTTCATGATTCCGTTCAAAAAAAAAGTACGTTCATGATTATTATTATTGCTATAGTTTGGAATAAAAATTTAATTAATGGTTTACTTTTTAAGTTTAAAATTGGCTAAAAGTTTTTTGTTTTTTTTTATTCTAACTTATTAGATTTTATAGTTAGAGTAGGATTATAATTATCACCCGTTAAGCATCCGATCCACCCGTTTCATCCGCGGATGACGGATGGATCGGATGCGGGTGATGGGTTTTGCGGGTGACGGGTGGATCGGGTGGAGCGGATGATTAATTCGGGTGGATGCGGGTGGAGTTCCATCCGACCCAAATCCGATCCGTTGCCATTCCTACAGAGCGACGGCCTACTCGTCGGGCGAGATCTCGGGCAACTTGGACTTCTCAATTGGGCTATTTCTTGGCTCAATCCGGATTTTCTCTTTGGGTCTTTACCACTCGGTCCAATGCCTCGAACTCTTTGTTAAGCCCTTAATCACCAGGTTGATAACTTTGATCGGTCTTGGGCTACATAAAATGGTCATATTAACGCGCTCCGACTCCAATGCTCGTAGTGGCTCCATTAAGTCCGGGAAAAAAAAACTCCAAATTTGCAATTTCCTATAAAAACAATATCAAATCTACGAAAACACTAGAAAACACATATTAGTAATAAAAGTGACTCCATAGAGCCAAAAATACTCCTTAATATGACCAAGGGATGGGGGTAAAACACAATATAAAATGGACATATCAATTATTTCATTTTAAACGTTTTAAATAGGCCTTAAATAATCGTTTTCCTTTATTTATTTATTATAACTAGGGATTCTTATGCGCATTATTGGTGGCATTTATGCCTTGTGCATATTTACCTGAAACTTATTATATTTATTTGCTTGGTAAATTTATAGTTACTTATTGAGACGAATTGAATAAATTATACAAGTCATCATACAATAACTAGTGTGTGTCCCGAGCGATGCCCCGAATTGCTAGTTTGTACTTTGTACTTCTTTAATTTGATAATTATATTTAACTGTTTGTATAACTAGTGTGTGATTTGGGCATTGCCTCGGATGTTGCGGTTTTTTTTAACCTGATATGCATTTTTTTTCTAATCTTGTGAAGAATAAATAAATTAAATAACTTCTAATTTGAAAGAAATATATAATGTTAATTTTATGAAATTTAAAACACTAATAAAAGTTGGTTGAGATGGTAAGTGTATATCCTTTATTTGTTGAAGGTTACGGGTTCGAATCTAGATTAAACCATAATTTATTTATTTTGTTAACAAAATCGTTCCTTTAAAAGAAACGCCTTTTAATATATAGTATAGATATACTTTGTACTTTTTGTATTCCATATATTAAAATTAATTTAGAATATTTTGTAGTAATTATTCTTTATATTCCAAATGGGAAAACAAAAAAAAATAAAAAAAAAATAAAAATGGAGAGACTAAAAAATGCTTTAAATATTGAAATTAACACAAATAATTAATCATCTTTGGTAATCAAGATACAATTTTAAGGCTTTTAAATTCAAAAGGGGAAAATATGTAAAAAGACATTAATAAACACAAATAATTAATCATCTTTGGTGATTCAAGAGATAACTTTAAGACTTTTGAAATAGAGGCAAATATGTAAAAGAAATTTTTTAGGGATATGATTGTACATACACTATTCATAATAGCTTTCTTATATATTTATAAGGTAGGGATATAATAGTATCAATAGTTTTGAAAAAATAAAAAAAATCAGTCCAAACCGATCTGGTACGGGTTTTTGGACTGGTTTTGCTAGTCCAGTTCAGTTCTGTTTCGAGCAAAATCAGACTGATCCCAATCTCCTTTTCTTGAATTTTCCAAATAAATTTTATGTTTGCTAATGAGATGACTATTTTATAAACAACAAAAAATGATGGTGTTTAATTATCAATGTAACTAGTAAGTACAAATTTAACAGGAAAAATTGATAAAAATAATCTCAATTTTCACTGGTTCGCTCAAAATTATTCCAACTTTGAATTATTTCTAAATAATCCGAACTTTGAACATTATTCGCTTAAAATGGTCCCAACCGATCACCAACCTGTTATAGCAGGTTACGGTGACACGTGTCACCACATGAATGGTTGAAAAATAAAAACAAAGTTAAAAAAAAAGGAACTTAAATTTATTTTTTTTTTTAAAAAAAAAACTTAAATAATTAACAAAAACCCAGCCCCACCCACAACCACTGTCCTACCACCAGCCACGATCTTCCCGGAACCACCCACCTCCGTCGCCTCCTGAAATCCCCGCGCCGGCGTCCAGACCCTTCCTCTAGCGTGCCGACGCCGGCATTCCACTCCCTTACCATCACCTATTCCGACCACAAAACCACCATTATTAGAACCCGAATTCCTTAAAACCACCCAGCCCCACCGCAAAACCCTCCAAACGACCATCCCCATCCTTGGAACCCTAGTCGCTAGGGTTTCGGAGTGGGAGAGAGCCCATTAGAAGGTTTATTTCGGTTAGGGGTGTATGTTCGGTTTTCGGTTTGGATTTAGTCCAAATCCAATCCAATCCGAAATATAATTCGGTTTTCAATTTTCCAATCCGATCCGATCCGAATTTCTCTCTTGATCCAATCCGAATTAAAATTCGGTTATTTGGATCTGATCCGAAAATCCGAATTATAATACATTATTTTTTTAGCGCCTAATACAATTATAAAAATAAAGCTTTACTATAAATAAAAGTCTTCAAAATCATGATTAAAATACACAGTTAAACGTTAAGTCATTAATTAATTAATACAAAGTCTCTCTAATTTATTTTATGTAGTATTATGTATTTGAGCTAAACTTCAAAATATACAAGCTTAATTTTACAATTCGGTTTTTGGTTTGGATTGGATCCAATTAGGGTCAATCCGATCCAATCCGAAAATCCGAATTTCCAAAAAATCTCAATCCGATCCAAATTGATAATTCGGTTTGGATTGGATTGGATTGGATTTCGGTTTTTATCCGAATTATGGACACCCCTAATTTCGGTGGGGGTTTTGTTGGTTTAGGGGGGAGTGGCAGCGTCGGAGTCGGTGCGGGGGAGAGGGGTTCTGGGCGCGGCAGCGATTAGGGCGAGAGATCGAGGTTCTGGGCGGTTGGAGGAGGCAGCTGTTGGGAAGTTGGTGGTGGATGAGGTTGTTTTTTGGTTTTTTTTTTAAAAGTTTATTATTTTTTTATTTTTTTTATATGTTTTTCACAAATCATGTGATGAAACGTGTACGGTGTACCTAAAAAAAAACACTCTAACAAGTTACCGGTAATATGGGACTATTTTGAGCAAATAACCCTCTAAGTTTGGATTATTAGAAATAATCCAAAATTAGGATTATTTTGAGCGAACCAACAAAAGTTGAGATTATTTTTACCAAATTTTCCAATTTAATAATGGTTAAATTATTTTATCTCCTTTCCCTCAAAAAAAAAATAAAAAAAATAATAAAAAAAAAAACATTTAACCTCCTATTCAAGTATAATTTTATATCAGAAGAGTGCAGCTCCATCTTAAAATGCAAGGTCAAGAAGTTACCTTATGTCCTTACATTAATAAATCAAACAAGATAAAAAATTACCTTTACTTAATTTTTGAGATTGGTAGCCATGACTTAGTGTGGAAGCTTAAAACTTCAATAATTAACCGTCGGAATTGAGACTTTGAGAGACGATGGCAAGAAAGAGACTCCATGGAATCTCTCCTCCAATTTACGAGCCATTGCACCAGGTAATTGAATTGATTTATAGAAGTATCCGAACTCCGAACTTCAGTAAGATGAATGGTGTGTGCAAGCTTATTTCTTTTACACAAGATAAATTTGCGATAGTAAACTTATAAAACGACATGCTGTGTTACAAAAACGTTATAAACAAAAGTCCTTAGATATTGTATATATATTACAGCACCCACAGAGCAACTCCCATCACGATTATACCTGTGGAAGTTGCAAACTAGCATCCATACTAAAGAAAACTTGGGCATATCATATAATCTCCCTCTTTTATTCAAGTATAATTTTATATCAGAAGAGTGCAGCTCCATTTGATTAGTGAATAAATACTACTTTCTAGGACTGAACGTCTGATCCCATACAGGGCCAGGCATGGAGATAAAGATGGGCTGAATCTATGCAGATCGATCTATAACTTATGTGGAGAGCCAGAATTAATGGAGAGAAGAAGAGCTATAGTTTACACAGATCGAACTGATAATTTTATGTGCTAAAGCCATAACCAAATGCTACTGACCAACCTATTCATGCACTAACAAGCTTATTATGACTGGCTGCCTGTCCAATAACTGATATGAATGGATACAATTATGTTACATCATCTACATTTTCCACGTCGCTTTCCATAACTAGTAAAAAACAAAGGTGCATCAAGTTCTTGGTCAGATTGGATACTACTGTTACAATGAGAACATGCTGTTCTATTCCTCGTCAGAATGTGTACAATAGAAGGAATAGGAATCATGAGCTAGGTTCTGCAGCAAAAAGGGATACTTGAAATCAGAACGTTTTTTAGGACACATTTGCAAGAAAATAGTCCCAAATATTGCAGAGAATTTGAATAGCGTAAAAGGCTAAAAGCCACTCTGAATTGAAAGCTCGAAAGAATGTTTAGTAGACAAATCAGCAGGAATGCAGGATTATCAAACATGCAAACACAGCAAAACATATTACAGACAGGAAAGGAATAAAGGATTACCTGTTCTTGTGAGCGGAAATACATGAACGGGGTGTAGTGAAGGAAATTTGAGACTCTAGATGTATATATATCAGCATATCTGTATTTGGCAATTAAACAAGGAACATGCAAGTCAGCCCACGTAAAGCCAACAAGATACGAAGTAAAGAACAACAGCTGCCCCAATAACAATTAAAAAAAGAAAACTCCATCTTTTTACAAAAATAAAGCCTATGGACAGGAACATTTATTCACCCCTCTCCCCCAGGAATAGACCAGTTTGATTGAAAAAATTAAAAATAAAAATAAAAATCAACAGGGAGAGAAACATACTTCTCAATTTGCCTCATTAAGTGGCTTTTATCCCAAAGGCCTGCACGAGAAAGAAAACCCCACCTGATTCAAGGGGTTAAAAAGTAAATTTCATGTCAAAGTCCCAAAAAATACGCTTGCATTAGTATAAAAGGGCATGGACTAATAGCACTATTTCAATAAGTGAAGGCTTAAGTCAAGCTAATATGTTTGCAGGAATCATATCATACAACCAATTTGCATATCGTGAAAGCTGGGTTACATCTTTTTTTTCTTTTTTCTTTTTCTTTTTTCTTTTTTTTCTTTTTTTTTTCCTGAAACAAGCTGGGTTAAATCTCATTTGTCAGATTCTTTTGTTTTCTTTTTTTGCGCTGGTGAGCTGGGCCAATACAGTAAGCCCTAATCAGCCAGCAGCCACTGAGACCAACCCCACATACAGCATGACTAAATCCTACAGCTCTTGAGATCTTATACCTTTTATTAAAAAGCTCTCCATCCGTTTCCAACATCGGTGCAATCTTCTCATCTAGTTTTTGCATGACAATAAGCAGCTTCTGCATGCTTTCTGTGAGTTCTTTATCATCCAGTTTGGTTGCAGCAAATGTCTGCAAGGCCATAAGTTTATGGTTAGAATAAGACTAATAATTTGATAAAGGTTTTACTTTGTATCATGCCTGAATTTCCGGGCATTCAACTTCATCATGATCCTTAATTAACAAAGTATCCTTAATTACAGTTGAAACTGATTATATAGTTGCAACCCAGAGAGAGCCAAAAACAAGCACAGGATTTTTTTTTTTTCCCATGCTGGGTTCAGGCAGTGAGTATTTGAGCATAGAAGCTGCAAGAGTTTGCAAGAAACATTTAGAACACCAATGACATCAAGTCATCAGCTATGCATATACAGTAACTCTAGAACACTTATTCACCCACCCAATGATTGGCCACAACGTGTAAGCCCTTCTCCCTTATTGAGCTATTTGTTAACCATGTTCCTCCCTCTTTTTAAAGAAGAGGTGTTTGAAATGCTAAAATTGCAACAAATAAAGACGAAAAGATACCTGTGCAGGTCGATCTTTCATTCGCCTCTGAAGAGCAAGGCGAAGTTGGTTGAAAAGATCTCCAAGAACTTCCTTCTGATTTATCAACTCTATCAAAGAGGCTCGATGAGCTCGGCTACCAATCAATGCAGTATACTACAAATGAGAATTTTAGATCAGTTAAGCTGTCATCGTAAATAAATAAAAAAAGGCAGGGACTTTTTATATATTAACCTCATCTTCAAGTTCTCGGCAAATCAATGCCGTACGCCACCGCAAGTGAACTTTGGATTGGCTTACATCTGTATATATATGGTCACCAACATATAATATTTCATCTCCTTGAACACCAAGAGAGCTTTCAACCATTTGGGCACTACCACCTGAATACAGACCCCCTGCATACATAGCGAAATATTACCAAGCAGTTAGATAAAAAATATATATAGAATACACGAGATTATATCATATTCAAACAATTTATATACTGCAACTTAAGGAAAAAAAATCCATGTCACTTATCAGGATGTATAACAAAATAAAGTGTACACGTCACCTGTACATGCTTTAAAACAAGGACGCATTAAGCCTTCTCCAGTCACCACTTCATACATTGGGTGTGACATTTGAAAAAATTCTGGCTTTCTGGCAGAGACTATCACCTTCAGAGGACAATAAAGCAAAAGTTACGAAAGAACACATTTATGATAGAGCTCTATCACAAATAAAGAAGATAATCCATCACAGCAGCATTTCAAGCAATAATTTCAAATTGAACAATTTACTTAGAGGAAAGAAATGTATGGCCTAAGCCACAAACCAACTGCACCAAAGTATACTTACACAGCATGATTTGCATCCAGTTCTGCAGTTTCAGTTTACGCTTTACAGCCTAGTACAATTTAACAAAAAGCTGCAATCTGCATTTCAGGTTCATATACATCACTACATCAACTACCATCTCACTGGAGAAGATCCAGGTTTATTTTTTCACAGATCTAGACAGTAAAGATCCACTGATCATCACTCACCCACTATTCAAGAGTTCAAGTTGCCTAGAAGCTTTCTCATCAAAACATTTAGTTTTCTTGTGTTCTCTTGGTGGGTGGTTGCAAAATATTTTTAGTTTGCAGGTTGACTTAATTAATAGGACACATACGGGTTTATGAATTCTACCACGAAGAAGGCATATACTCTTAGTTTGAATTTTGAAATTTGACTTAATAGGACAGAACAAATTTTGGTGGAGCAGTTTTACCAATTACTAAAGCTGTCATTTTTAGTTTAATACTTCCTCCGTTTCACTAAAATTGCAACACTTCTCACTTCATGCTTGCCAATGCATTATATCAATCACTAATATCTGTAATCATCAATAAGTGAAGATTATAAAATTTTGATACTGTGAAAGTATAAATTGAGGAGAATCTAACAAGATCCCACATGACTATATATAAATCACAAAAGTCAGAACAAAGTATGTAAATAGCGTATAAGTCAAATTGTTGCTATTTTAGTGAAAGGGAGGAAGTACATGTTTTAAATATAATAGCATCAAACCATCAGAGGATATAATAAACCTGCAGCAAAAATGATACATTATGCTCCTGAGAAAGATATCACAATGTTCAGCCATAGTGCATAGAAAATTTGGTCATAGTCTTTAGAAAGGAAGGGTAGGAAAAATGAGTACACAACACAACCAAGTATAAGGCAAGTTCAATTTACAACTAATATATGTTCTAATAAGAGCATATGTGTTCAGATAAGTTCCATAACTGAAAATTGGATGACCAGAACACACCAAGTCTCATAGAAACAGCTGAAGTACGTTCTAATATGTTCATATATGTTCAGTTAAGTTCTATAACTGAAAATCGGGTGAATAGAACACACCATTAGTCTCACAGAAACATAGTCTCCTGAGAACCAAAAATAATACAAATTTAGAGCTTCGATAAAAATCAGTATTTCAACAAGCACTTCTTTAGTGGACAATTTCTTCAGGGTTGGATAAATGTCAACAGTAACCACATATACAGTAAAGAACTAAAGATGGTTGGAGTACAAAGGCTTAATTTTCCAAGGAAAGGCAAGTGCTATCCAAAACTTTCAAGGAGTTATGTGCAATAGCACCATTAAATACTAACAGAGCAAAATACAAAGGTATGTCCCAAATAAGCATACCATGTCAAAAAGATCTCGCCAATCCATGTCATTAGGAAGAAATCGGTTGAAGGAATGTCGCATCATTTTGTCGGTATAATGAAAATCCGAGTTGGTTATCAGCAGAAGCTTTTTACCAGCCTGATTAAATTAAGTAGAGCATCATTAGATCACAGCTCACAATGGGTAATAAAATTTAATTAAGAAAATCCATACCTCCTTTTGATCTAGGAGAGCCAAAGGCAGATCTGGATCAGGCTCTACAAAGAGTTCAGGCTTTGACATAATCTCACTCTGCAAGGAAATTTACGGATTCAGCTGAAATTTCTATAGCCATTTTCAGAAAGATGTAAATAGATGAACAGGAACATGACCACCTTAAGTTGTCCTTCGACATGTGCTCTGAACAAGGCCTTTCCAACAGCCTGTAAAATATACATTAAGTGTCAAACATGTGAAAAAATTATTATAAATCGCCTTAGTAGTAAAAAGGGGGAAAAACAAAAAAAAAGGGGGAAAAAAAAATTAAGCAGGATATTACCTTGTAAAGCCCCTTATAATCAAGTGGACCAATCGCAGCTTCAACTGCACCTTCATCTAGCCTGTCAACCAGCTGCATTCAAAAATATTTTCAATCAACAAATTGAAAACTAATAGCTACAAATATATCATAGAAAAATAAATCATCTTTCTATTGGCACACTGCTCATCCCTCTAGAGAGACAAAGGACTACAAAGACGAAACATATTTTCACGTATTGAAGTATCCAACAAGCAACATATTGACATAAATATTAGCAAACTAATCAAGAGGACAGCAAAGGATGCAAACTTAAGTCAAGAGGCAAAGTGAAGAAAAAGTAATTACTGCATACAAAAGATTGGTCTTATCAATATAATGACTTGGCAGGAGCCAACCAAAAAAGAAATATACTCCAGAGTAGCAGTTGAGATCAGAGAGAATTGAAAACCTGCATATAAGCTACTGCTTCTGAAACAGAGAAGAGTGTATTAAGAAATTCCCATCTACTCTCATTCCTTAGATCAACCAGCTCCCTCCCGTATATTTCACTTCCTTGCATGGAAGAATAAAAACCATTAAAAATCAAAAACATCATAGAATAATGCATAATATAGTTAGCAGAAACCACAACAGGGAATATGTAGCTTCAGTGTGCAACATACACTTGCCAGTATAAGCTCTACCTCGACTCTAGGTACGCTAGTTAGCATCTTATCAATTAGAAATGGATACACAAAATCTAAGTAGATTGCACCTCAAAGTAATCAACCATGACCAACTACCTACTGGTAACAAAAACACAGTTCTATTTAGATACAAAAAATACGCACTAAGCTCTTTGTACACGATCTTTATAATTTCATAATTATTTATGAGCTAATCTGATTGCAGCCAATTTATAAGAACTGAAGCCTAAAGAATCACACAATCCCAAACAGCCACGAACAAGAACAGAAACATAGTAGTCCAACCTGCAGAGAAGATCCTTAACCCCAACACCCCCAACACTTGAGTTTAAATTTCAAAGGTAGAGCACAAGAAGCTATGGCCAACAAATTGATCAGTAGCTTCTACAAGTACTTCAAAGTAGCAGGCCACAAACATTAGTTAGCACTTGGCAAGGAGGATTGCAATTTATGCCACAAAGTAAAGGCTATTTGAAACATCACTATGACATCACTATATGATAAGATCTAGACTCAAATTTATCAGCAGTTGCTCATTCATACAATGTAAACAAGAACCCCGTCAAGGATACTAATATCTAAAGTTCCAGATGGCCACCTGAGGTAGTGAAATGCAAGGCTATGGCTATGGCTGTGAACTTGGCAAGTAGATAAGGAACGGAGAAGGTAGTTTTTTAGTCTGATAGCCAGGTTATCATGAATCACCTCTAAAGCTCTATCTTTGTCATAGAACATCTAGATTTAGTTCTTGAGGATATTCTCTATTTTTAGCAAAAAAATTTACTTATCTTAAGTGGATACAGGTTAATAGGGATGAGAATCATGTTGCCCACCACCTCACCAAGCTAGTGGCCATTGGTATTGAGCAAGTATGGGTAAATCGTTGCTCTAAAGAGGTTTCCTTTCTTTCAAAAAACAAAAATAAAAAACTAGTATTCACTCCTCACAAAGTAGTACAGTGTATACATTATTATTATTGAAATGTATATAAAAGCCACCCCCATTCCTCCCCTTCCTCCTCTCTACCCAACCATCCCTCTCCCTCCCACCCAAATTAGTTGCATCACATTTCCAAATTGCGAACTCCTAGGCAATTTTTGGAGATGAGATAATAAAAAATGGACCCATGTGATAAGAGAGAGATAGAGAGTTTATTAATTAAAAAGGAAAGTGATGCAACTAATTTGAAACTTCTGTTTTAGGAAAGTGATGCAACTAAAAAGAAACGGCGGAAGTAACAATAAAAGAAAAAAGAAACAAAATTAACACCAATTCTCAATCCCTCCCAATCAAGTGAATAAAGAAGACAGAATCAAAACTATTTCAATTTTCAACAGAAACGGTCTCAAGGAAAGTTTGTGGTTACCTCACAGCTCTTGTCGATAGCATTGTTGTTCCATGCATAGCCCTCTTTATATAACCAAATCGATCTGCCTTAACTAGGTTGCCTTTCTCTTTATCTATGACAAGGCCTCTGATAACCTAGCAAGAATGAAAAGATGATGCAAGCCAAAGCACACAATCCATAGATGCAATCTGATTAGTATCACGCATAATAGCTTATCTGTTATTCTGCATAACCAAAAAAAGGCTTACCAAGTTTGGATCAAAGGAAAGACCATCAACAGGAAACCCCACATTCTTCAAGTTCTCCATGCAATAATCATACGCTCGCCCTTCCCAGGCCTAGAGCACAAAAGTCATACGGTAGGATTAGAGCTGACTATCAATTTGATTCAAGGAAAGGTCTAGCCAAAATATGTTGAGTCAAAACTTGATGCCAAATAAGAAGTATATGCTATTCAATCTCCATACTATCAGTGAAAGCTCGGCATCCAAACACCCCTAATTCTGAAGCACAATAGAACACCCAAAGAGCTGAAAGAGTGACTTCACCTATTTTGTTCAGATGTTCCACAAAATCCCAACTGCTGCCTAGATTAGATATCCGTACCAACCACACTCCACATTTCTCAGTGTGTGTCTATGTATGTATGTGCACATGGCCACATGTACATATGTGGGAGTGTGTTTTTGCTTTGTAAGAGCATGTTTTATTAAGCAGTAACTGGCTTGATAAAATACCTGTAGTCCTGTACATTGTTGTTTATCATACTTCTTTAATCAGAAATGGAGACAAGCCTATGCAAATTCATTCACATAAACTTATATTTTCCATAGTTCATATTATTGTGCCAAATGTAGTTTACTGTATGCAGTTAAGAGCATAGCTTGATACTCAAGGAATTAGCAATGGAAGAATATGAATATGTTCCTTTCAAAAAAATTGTTCCTTCCTCTAAGAAATAGATAGGTTGTACCCCTACCCCACAACCATCACAAGCCCCAACCTGATCAGAAATGTGAGTGTTGATCACCAAATGTAGGAAAGCTAGCAAAGAAATAAAAAGAGCTTGGATGTGCCTAAGAACACAGCTGCAACAAAGTTTTACGAATAGAGCCAGAGTATACATACATGCCCCATGTGAATGAAGTGGCTCATAATTTTTTTTAAGATGGGGGATTGCTTGAGAGAGGCTAGTCACTCCAAATAAAAAATTACTTCCTCTCTTTTTTTGATGCAACGTTGGGAGTTACACGCTTGCCAGTGCCAATGATTTCTTTAATTACCTTTTAGCAAAAAATACAAAAAAAAGCTGATATTTCGAAAGTATATGTTAACACAAATCTAACAAGATCCCACATGACTATATTTTCCCAACATATAAATCACAAAAGGAGCTTGTGTGAATAGTGCAAAATTCCATGTGTTGTGGTTATGAAAGAGAGGAAGAAGCAAGTTTTTTAGGCGAGGCCAATTTTCTCCTAAATTTTCTATAAACTTGCCTAAGAAGTCAACTAAAGCTGAAAATTAACTAGAATGGATCCCAGCTTTGGCAAGAGAGGTGTAAGAGTACATGGTTTACTGTTAACGAGTTAAATACTGATAGAGAAGCCCATTTTAGGAAGAAAAAAAAAAAGCCACAAAGAAAGTTCAAGAAAGAGAAGCTCACTAAGTAAACTATAATAAAGGTACCAGACGTAGTAATTAAAAAACCCTTAAAGAGCTGTAACAGTACAAGCAGATGTGAGGACATATAAATAACTATAAGAGCTAACTAAGATGCAACTAATGCTCATTATACATATACATAGTAATTTGCAGCAAAATGCAATTCCACAACCACATACAATTGAGGCGGACAAAACATCTCAAAATTGATAAGCTAATTCTACTAAGAGCCAAGAGATGATTTAAATTAGTAGAGAGTACCATGACATTATAATGCATCAAGGTGTAGTCCATGTCATATCCAATAGCACTTATTGACCGAAGATTCAATGTACGCGTGCAAAATATACCACGAGGAGAATGTGTAGCAGAAAAGGGAGCCTGCAAAATAACCACAGAGAAAGTTTATAGGCACCAATGCACCGTAAGACCTTCCAACAAATATTTGAAATCATGGTTCAATAGCTCTCTAAGAATTTCAGGAAAGAGAAAATTTGATGATGAAGACAAGGGAAAACTTAGCAAAGAGGGGAAGGGGTACTTGGGACAATGAATTATAAAAATATCTACAAATTAACAGTGGCATATCACAGAAATACTTGTCTCATAAGTCAATAATATCAATACTAGCACAGTAACAACAATTTTACATGAACACTATATTAGGTATGTTAAGAGGGATACGCATCAATATCCCATGCAGCAACCAAAAAAAGGCTTAGGCCCAAGCCATGAAATAAAAAGATTCTTCTCACCCAAATATAGTATAAACTACTGACAAGAGCTTAAAAGTCCATGGCAATAGGAATTAGAAAATGCTTCCAAGCATCATCATAACACATCATATGGGTAACTAACGCTTTGCAGCACCTACTGTATCCTAAATTCAGAAGAAACAGATATCTCGGAAAAGGTAAACAAGGATGAAGTTCATGTAACTCTCAAATTTACCCCTTTCCACACCCCATCCTTCCTCCCGGAAAAGAACAAACAAGCCTACAAATCTGATTACCTTCCCCCCAAAACAGAAAAAGAAGTCTACAAATCAGATTACCTGCCCCATTTCCGGTTCCTACTAGAATAAACCTCCAATTCTTAGACATGCCAGGTTCAAAAACATTATGAACATGTTGTTCATGACCTTTTAATACACTTTTATCAAACCTGGAAAACTCTTGTTTAAGAACAAATATAAACTTTACTGTCAGCTTGGAAACCTTCAATTCAGAGAATTGCCAATATGCCAAGTTGCAATGCACAATCATAACTATGCAGCCTTTTCTTCTCTTTCTTTCTAAGGTTCAGGATAAGGCAAATGCGCCTATAGATGCACACGCTATCAAAAACCCGAGTTTCTTGCACAAACATCACTTCCCCAACTAAATTACTCAACTTGAAATCATGCAATACACCCACCTCCCACACAAAATAATCAACACAACGCGCTGGCACACATACACACATATAGGTCATACACACACAAAGGAGCAAACATTTACCGGAATTCCCAAGTCACGAAGCAACCTCTCAGCTTCATCAGCTTCCAATTTAGCTAATTCCTCAATAGGACCTTCCATACCAGCCTGTCTTTTACCACCTATAAACCCCCAAATTTCAAATTTCAAAATTCAGCAATAATCCAACAACAAAAACCCATTAAAACAAACAATCAAACACCCTAAAATCTTGAATTAAATCAGTATGATTCCATACCAAAATTGTCAAAATTGACATTAAAGTCCCCTTTAGTGCTCTCTCCTAAATAATCAACATCAGACTTATTACTCGGCGTGACAGAGAAAGCCGGGCCCGTCGTAACAGCCGCCTTCTCCCCGGCAACACACCTAAAAGGCGTCAGCTTTCTGGGGTTGGCTGAAAATGCAGTGAACGGAGAAAAGATGGGAGTAAAGGATGATGATGCCACCATTGTTGTAAGTGGGGAAAACTTGGTAAATTGGTAAGAACCAGTTTGCCACTGCAATGGAGTTTGCATTATTTTTGGTAATGGCAGAAAATTTGAGAAATTGTTGTTTCAAAGTCTAAAAAGATTGGGATTTGGAGTAGTAGTGTTTGAAATTTGTAGTATTACTTGGGAATAATTGGGATTTGGTAAAGATGAATTGAAAATGTTCTCTTCTTTAAATTCTGGATTTTTATGCTTTTGTTGGTTGCATTTGTTACTTATGCTTTGATAATGATAAAAAAATATCTAAGGTGATGTGACATTGAGAATTCAGGCATGAGTATGGTGGGTTTATTGTGGACTAGAGGTCAATGATGAAGTACGGACAATGGAGTATTTATTGTCTACGGAGCTGTTCACTTCACTTTAATTTCAGTTTAGTTCCGTTTAGTTTCAATCAATTTAGTTCAGTCTACGGAGTTGTTCACTTCACTTTAATTTCAGTTTAGTTCCGTTTAGTTCCAATCAATTTAGTTCAGTCTACGGAGCTGTTCACTTCACTTTAATTTCAGTTGCAAATTTATTCATTGACCAATGAAAAAAAAACATCTTTCAATTAAAAACTAAGTACTCCATATCTAAAAGTTAATAACATAAAAATAATAAAATATGCTAATTGTAAAATATTCAATAATATGCAAATGAAGATTTAGTATTATGAATATGTATTATTTTAATGTTCATTTTTATATGCGTAAATGTTCATTGTTACATAATATAATAAATTTTATAAATATAACTAATACAGTACATGATAAATAAGTGTTTTAGTATCAAAATGAACCTTTAAATATATGTAAATGTTCATTTAAATAAAATGCATGTAATTGTTTAGTATGAAATTATCATGAATAAAAATAAAATGAGCATGTATTAATATGAAAATGAACATCTGTATATAATAAAAAAAATTCAATACTTTTTATATAAATTTTTTAGAAAGGTTGTTTGCAGGAGTTCTAAAAACTTTATGAGAAGGAATTTGTAAATTAGAAATAATCATAATATCAGCTTCCAAAATTTACATATATATTTGTCTTTTAAATTGAAAATCCTAGTATATTAAAAATGTACATATTCGGATTATACAATTGTTCAAGAAAATGTTAAAAAAAAAATGTTAAATCATTACTTCAAGTTGTTTAGATTTCTAAACATTTTTTATTTTATTTATGAACATGTTACTTTCCTAATATGAATAGTGTTTAGGATGGAGATCATCCCATAAAAGGTTGGTGTGTCACTAACTCAATCACTACTTTATCCATTTCACTCTTAGAATTTAAATTTTTAAGTATTAATTTAATAAATTTTTTTTTGTTGACGAATTGGCTGGCAATTTGGGACATCTTTCCCTAAGATGAACATAATAAGCTTCTAATATATACATATTTGCCTTTAAAAATGCACATGTACTTATATCTTAGGATAAATTGGTCATTATATATTTATAATATACGAAATAAATAAATGTGGATGTTTGAAAGTAATTAACATTTGAAGTTCAACTAGTATTAAAATTTGGATGAATATCATTAAATTTGAAATTGAACATTTAATAAAAATGTAGATAAATATTTATTAAAGTGAATAAATATGAACATTAGCCAATATATGTACAAACCATCAATATATGAATGAACATTTAGCAATATAGAAATGATCATATTTTTAATATGAAAATATCATTTATCAGAACTCTAATGATTGTCTATTAATATGTGAATGGTCATATGCTAATATATAATGAACATTTATCAAATTGAAAATGAACACTCAACAAAAAGATTTTTTTCGTATTTTAATAGATACACTATAGGTTGTGCAATTACTTTGTTCTCATATGGCTATTGCTTTAACTGTATTGTCAATATATCTATAACTCAATAACTTAATGTACATGTATCAATTAATATGACAATGAACATGCATCCATTTCTAAATGATAATATTTCTATACAAGAATGAACATTTATTAAAGTGTCAGTACGTATGAAATTCAAACAAAAACTTAACAAATATCTTGATTGTGCATTTAAATTATGGGATTGAACAATTGTAATAATATCTGTATAAACATCTACTAAAAATTCAAAATATACATCTATTAATATCGTGGCTATGTATCTATATGAGAATGAGCACAAGACTTTGATAAGAACATCAAATAATTTATTTATAATAATTAGTTTAAATATAGTAAATTTGAACATTTGACGCTCTATATACATATATGATATGAAAAATAACACATGAAAAATTATTATTTTTAAAAAAAAAAAACAAACGTAAAAATGAACCTGAAAAAGTATAGAAAGTGACATGAACAACAAAATATGTAAATGAGCATCTACTCATATATAAATGAGCATATATTGGAATGATAAAGAACTTGGCATAAAAATTAATGATTATGAAATATATGTGGTTAAACATCTAAAGCTCTGCTCACCTTTTTAGTCTTGCATAAAATATATTTTTGTGTTAGGTGTGACATACAAGGAAGCAAGCTAAGTAGTAAGTACTATATATACTTAATTACTTACTACTCCATACTGTACATAACAAAAAAGTATTTGTAACAATCAATGCACATTATTTACAAAATGTGAATGAATGCCTATCAAAATTGAAATAACTAACTTATCAAAATAAAAAAGAATATTTATCAATACGAAAATGAACATTTATTAATACGTGAACATACACCATGTATATATCAATAAAGCAAAAAAATATATATTAAATGAAATGATCATGTATCAATATGAAAATGAACATTTATCAAAATGAAAATGAACATTAATAAATAAATAAAAAATAATAATAAAAAAAAAAACTACTTTAATAAATCTTCTTTCCTAATTTGTGAAAGAAAAAGAAAGCAGTTGTGCTTATGATAATTGTCAATTAGAAAGAGAAAGTATAATTAGAGACTAAAAATTTAAAAGGCACAAAAGTTGATGGGAATGAAATTCAATCAACGAAATTTTAATTTGTTGATTGAATTTTCCATAGAAATGACTAGCTAGTTGAAGAACAAATCACACACTTCTAACTTTTTAAATAATTTGCCTTTTCAGTTTGCTGAATATAATGCTGAAAGTAGGCAAGGAACTGGTAATTATTAATTATTAATTATTAATTATTAATTATTAATTATTAATTATTAATTATTAATTATTAATTATTAATTATTAATTATTAATTATTAATTATTAATTATTAATTATTAATTATTAATTATTAATTATTAATTATTAATTATTAATTATTAATTATTAATTATTAATTATTAATTATTAATTATTAATTATTAATTATTAATTATTAATTATTAATTATTAATTATTAATTATTAATTATTAATTATTAATTATTAATTATTAATTATTAATTATTAATTATTAATTATTAATTATTAATTATTAATTATTAATTATTAATTATTAATTATTAATTATTAATTATTAATTATTAATTATTAATTATTAATTATTAATTATTAATTATTAATTATTAATTATTAATTATTAATTATTAATTATTAATTATTAATTATTAATTATTAATTATTAATTATTAATTATTAATTATTAATTATTAATTATTAATTATTAATTATTAATTATTAATTATTAATTATTAATTATTAATTATTAATTATTAATTATTAATTATTAATTATTAATTATTAATTATTAATTATTAATTATTAAAACTTGCGGTTGGTCTTCATGTTAAAAAGCAATGCTTTGTTTTGATATAAACCGCTACTTGAAGGTTCGTTTGGCATAGTTATGGTTTTCTGTTTTTTGGTTTTTTGTTTTCTAAAAGTATATGATATGAGTCCCATAATGAATAAAAAAATTATATAAACTTATTAAAATTATGATAATTTTGAAAACTGACAACAGAAAAGTGGAAACACCTTTTTCTTATTTCCTGTTTTTGGTTTTTAGTCTTTTTTAAAAGGAAAGTGAAAACTAAAACTGATTCCAAACAAGCCCTGAATTAGCGGTTTTTAGTTTTGAAAGCCGCTACTTCAAGTGGCTGTTTTCTGAGTACAAGTAGCGGTTTATAGCTGGACCGATAAAAAAAATCGGTTTATTTCTTTTAGCTTACGTGGACGGTATAATGGGAATTAATAAAAGATTGACCGTAATTTGGGAATTAGGTGTTTTGCTAGCATTATTTAGGGAAAGAGCTCAAAAAAAATGAAAAAGAAATTAGAAATAATTAAAAGAAAAAAACCAAAAAATTAATAAGAATCACAATTTTGCTTTTCCTTCCCTTTTATATAGAAACTTTATTACAATATCCATCATGGCAACCAACATGGCATTCACGTCAGATCAATCTCAGACCATTAAAATCCCTCACAACTAATCCAACGGCCAAGATTCATCCCATACGCATGGCGGGAACAAGCTAACGCGTGCTTAACAGAAAACAGCAATCGCTCCACAAACTTGACTCCCACTTCAACTTCTCTCTCCTCCAACCAATCACCTCTCGCCACGTACCCCATAAATCCTCCTTATACACACAACCCTCACCTTCTCCCTTCTAGAGTTCGAAAAATCAGGAGAGAGAAAATCCTAAAAACTTGAGCAATCATCAATGGCGGTGTTAAACGGCGTCGTTTTCAAGTCTTCTTCTTGCTGTTACACTACCCAGATTGGAAAAGTTTCTGGGAATTCAAGAAATTCATGTTTTTTGAATTCTGAAGTTTGTTTTAGAAGAGGGAATCGAACACCCAGTTTGAGGGAATTGAAATTAAAAGTTGGGAATCATGGGTTTGAAGATGAAGGACACTTAGATTATTATAATTCTGGGGTTGGAGTTGGGGTTTCGGTTTCTCCTGTTTGTGGAGGGAAAAAGGGAAAGGGGAAAAAAGGGTGGAATGGGATTCCGGTGAAAAAGAGGATGAAATTGTTGAAGGGTTTGGTTAAGGATTTGTCGACTTTTTCTGAGTTAGGGTTTGGGTTGAATTTGGATTCTGATAATAATCTGGGTTTTGCTGTTGATGATGATAAATCCAGAACTATTTCTGTAAGTTCACTTTCTTTCTTTCTGATTTGTTTTGTTATGCTAATTTGATGTTATGTTCATGCCTTAAATTTATTTTGTTTTTTGTATGTTAATTTGATTGATAAGTGTATACGTTAATCCAGAACATAATTTTATTTTGGCTAAAACTTGTACACCACGGGTGTATTGAATGCAACATGTTAATTCGGTCCTGAAGTGCTTAGGGTAAACTTTTGTGTGATTGGAGGTGATAGTGTTTACGTGTAAAATACACTCGTTGTATACAAGACCTTTTGCGTGCGATTATATGTTCCAGTTAAATCGGAATATGCAATTAGATTGTATATTGGGGTTTAATTGCTTTCAGGTTTATTCATCTAGGTTGTGAAAGAAAGTAGCTTTATCAATTATTCTAATGAATTATTAAGGGTTTTAGAAGCTTTTTTTTTTTTTTAAATTTCTCAAGCAATTGATCGTTGTATTAAATTCCTGATTATTAAACTCTCTTTGATTTGTTGTACTTATTGGTTTAATTTTTGGACAAATTTGCAGCAAGCAGCAGAGACACTGTTAGCTCAATTGAAGCTTCTAAAAGCAGAAGAAGAAAAGATGAAGAATTGTGAATCTTCCTCTTCCTCTTCGGAATCGAGTGACAGCGAATGTGATGAAGTGATTGACATGAAAACTATGAAAAACAAGACTGTTGTTCGACCTATTGAAACCAAGGAGATTCATTCAGTTATTGAGGAACCACAAACAACTACACCAACCACACTGTTAGCTCAATCTATGAGTGAGCAACTTCCTCTAAACTCAGAGCAGAAGTGCAGCAATATGATCCTTGATTTGACCTTAAACAAGGATGTAGGAATCGAAGTTCTAGACTCGGAAACTCTGAAACTGCATCAGCCAAGAGTGGAAAGTATAGGGAAGAAGATCGAGGTTTGTATGGGCGGGAAGTGCAAGAAATTAGGTGCCCCGGCATTGATGGAGGAGTTTCAAAGAGCAGTAGGCAGCGAGGGAGTTGTTGAAGGGTGCAAGTGCATGGGCAAGTGTAAAAGTGCACCTAATGTCAGACTTCAGAATGGTAATGTAGGTGCTGATTCTGTGAAAACTAGTAACCCTCTCTACATTGGTGTCGGTTTAGAAGACGTAGAGTTGATCGTTGCAAACTATTTTGAAGAAGAGGCTAAGGATCAATTGCGCTTTGCTGTTGCTGCTGTTTCTTCCTGAAGAAATTTTATTGCCATTACAAGTATTATTTCAGTGTCTGAACTGAAAGAGGAGACTAGTGAGATGAAGCTGTAATATTTCTGGAAATGTAGAATTATTACTTTGGAGAGTCTGATTTCTTATTAAGGTTTTCTTCTTTTTGGTAAACCTATTGACCTATTGTACATAAAACTCCAATTCATTGTATAATATATACTACTTGGTAATGTGTATTGATTGTGTTTTAGAAACGAGAAAACTAGAAATTGAATAGAACAGTGATTATTTACTCAACTAGAAATTTCACTCACCACTAGTAATTTTCACTTATTATTTCTAATTTATTTAAGGATTTTTTGTAATTAACCACCCTTAGAGCATTGCCACTAATGAGCATTTTTTTGGTTGCCCAATCTCTCTCTAACCACTTTCTCACTCCTCCTCCCCATGGGCATTTTCTTGGTCATTTTTTTTCTATACCAATGGTCAAAAATTATAATCCCCACCAATATTTATCTCTCTTACACATCATTAAATTTGTAATTTAGTATTTCTTAATTTTATTATTAACAAAATTTGGTATTGATTAAATTATTTATGAGTACAATATTAATTATAATAATAATAATAATAATAATAATAATAATAATAATAATATTAAAAGTATGACTAATTATGAGGGAGAAATTGAGAGAAAATGTAAATACAACAAATTTATGTGAATTTTGGAAATATGAAAATATAGGAAAAATGGGTCTCTATTTGTAGGGAATTTTGTTTTCTAGCCGTTGGTAATTTTTTTTTTTTTTTTTAAATTTTAAAAGAACAAAATAACGGTTACAAAAATATAACCGTTGTAATAATCAGGAATTTCCTGATTGGTCCAAGCTCCCTGACAGGACACGTGTCGGCGCCTGATTGGGCGTGCTGACGCGCCTGTAAGGGGTGCATTTAGTAATTTTTTTTGCTTTTCCTTTCCTCAAAACGCTGCGTTTTGAGTTGAAGCGCAGCACACGCTTCCTCAAAACTAGGGCTGGCAAAAGCTGACCCGACCCGACAACCTGACCCGAACCCAACCCGAAATAAATGGGTTTTGATAGAGATTTTCAACCCGTTTATATAATTGGGTCAACCCGAACCCGACTTGAAGTTAAATGGGTCGGGTTCAGGTTGAAAATCCCAACCCGAAACCAACCCGCATAAACCCGTTTATTTAATTGGGTCGGTTTCAGGTGGGGTCAACCCGAACCCAACCCGCTTAACTTAAAACCCTAATTTTAAAATATGGGCCAAGCCCAAATTATCTAACCCTAATTCCCTCTTTCTCTCGCCGCTTTCTTTCACTCAAACTCTCTCTCTTCTCAGTTTCTCTCTCTTCTCTCCTCTCTTTTCTCTCTCTAACTCTTGAAGATTGAAATAAAAATGCTTGAACCTTGAAGATTGAAGCTTCATCTCAAACATTCTGAAGGGTAATAATCCTATTATTCGATTTTTTATGAGTTTGTTTGCTCATGAGTCATTTGTTTATGCAATTTCCTGATTTGGTTATGCAATTTTCAGATTTCTTTGATTTTTTAATGCGATTTTTTGCTATTATGGTTTATGTATGCTTTGTTTATGTGATTTAATGATTTAATGTTGTTCGTTTGTTATTTTCTTACTCTGCAATTTCTTTCGAACATTTGATTTGTTATTTACTTATTTTGCGATTATTTGCGATTTGTTTATGCGATTTTTTGCCCTGATTTGATTTTCTTACTCTGCAATTTCATGAGTTTGATTCTTTATGTCATGACTCATGAGTTTATACTTCTGTTTTTCATGTTTTATCTTTTATGCCATGAGTGTAATTCTTTTTTTAATTTATTCACAGATGGCTAATAGCCCTAATCCTGATGAACCCATTGATCTTCCGGATTCTGATTCAGATGATGAAGTTTCTGATTCTCATCAAACGGAATCAAAGAAGAAAACCTCTAATGTCACCTCGCTGAATAAGCCTGGAATTCATTTCAAGCGCCAACGAAAGCTCACTTCAGATGTGTGGGCAAATTTTGAATTCCTTGATAAACCTGACGAACAAGGTAACATCATTTGCAAGTGTAAAAAATGTGGGCAGAAATATAATGCTGAAAGTAGGCAAGGAACTGGTAATTTAAAACGCCACATTAAGAAATGTAAAAAAAGGACCTTTAAAGATGTGGGTCAGATGATTATTGATTCAAGCAGTTCTGGTTCTATGATGAATAGGGTTCTACAATTGATTATGATATTGTTCGTGAGATGTTGTCTATTGCTGTGGTGAAACATGATTTGCCTTTTCAGTTTGCTGAATATAGTGCTGTTAGGAAGTTGATTAATTACATAAATCCTGATGTTAAACTTGTGTCTCGAAATACTTTGAAGGCTGATGTTCTGAAAATGTTTAAGAGGGAAAAAGATAAACTTAAGGAGGAGTTGAGTGTAGTTAAGGGTAGGATTTCTCTTACATCTGATTGTTGGACTTCAATTACTACTGATGGTTATATGTCTTTGACTGCCCATTTTGTTGATAATCAATGGAATTTGCAAAAAAAAATTCTGAACTTTCGTTTTTTGCCTCCACCTCACACCGGTGTCCATATGTCTGACCATGTCTATGATTTGCTTAAAGAGTGGGGTATCCAAAAGAAAATCATGTGTATTACTCTTGATAATGCTTCCTCTAATGATGTGTTTGCTGATGTAATTAAAAATGAACTTGATTTGGTATGTGGGGGGGGATTATTTCCATGTGAGGTGTTGTGCACATATCCTAAATTTAATTGTGCAAGATGGGTTAAAAGAAATTAATGAGGCTGTTGTTAAGGTGAGAGAAACTGTGAAGTATTGTAAAGGGTCTCAGGCTAGAAAGCAACGTTTTTTGACTTGTGTGGCACATGTTGAACTAGACTCAAGTAGAGGATTGAGACAAGATGTCCCTACTAGATGGAATTCAACTTATTTGATGTTAGAGGATGTTTTGTACTACAAAAAAGCTTTTCTTCATTTTCAAAAGGTTGATGCCAATTACATTCATTGTCCAACAAATGAGGAGTGGGGGAGAATAGAGAAGTTATTCAGATTTTTGAAGGTCTTTTTTGATGTGACAAATGTTTTTTCGGGTACTAATTATCCTACCGCTAATGTATACTTCCCAAATGTGTTGAAAATCCGTTTACTCTTGAAAGAGGAGCTTGAAAATTCTGATAACTTCATGCATAAGATGGCAGCAAGAATGAATGAGAAATTTGCTAAATATTGGACCAACTTTAGCATAATCATGGCTGTGGTTGTTGTTTTAGACCCTCGATTTAAGTATGAGTTTGTGGAGTGGGCTTTTAAGAAGGTGTATGGGGAAATAGAGGGTACTAATGAGTTGGTGAAGTTTAAGGAAAGGTTGGATTATTTATATGGTGCTTATGTGACTGAGGCTTCCACAACAACACCACGAACAAGGCGCCGTTCTTCTAGACAGCCTAATGAAGAGCAAGTTGATGTTGCTTCTGATTCTTTTATGATGGTAACTGTGAACACTTGCTTTTTGTTTGATAATCAGCTTTAAATTCTGTTTTTTGTATGCTTTATTGTAATTTTTGTTTAAACATCTTTTAGGACTTTGATAACTTCTCTTCTAGCAAATCATATGTTGCTGCTAAATCTGACTTGCAAATCTACTTGGAAGAGCCATTGATTCCTCGTGCAACCAACATTAATATTCTATATCATTGGAAAACAAATGTTGTGAGGTATTTTGGACATGTAACTCTTGGAAATATTTTGGACTTGTTGGCTAGCTACTTTTCAAGTTTTAGTTGTTGTTGTGAGTGTATGAAACTATGAAGTATGGACAATGCACTAATGCAGCAGGATTTTCTTGAATTATGTTGTTAAGTTATGTTTGCTTGAATTATGTGTTGAATTTGAAGTCTTGAATACTTGAATCTTACAGGTTAAAGAAATTAGTCAAATTACAGGTTAAAAAAAATTACAGTATAAAGAAATTAGTAAATTACAGGTTTTTATTTTATTTTTTTTTAATTAAAAAAAATCAGGTTTAGGCGGGTCGGGTTCAGGTCGACCCGTTTATAATCAGGTCGGGTTCAGGTTGGTTTTTTTGACCTGTTTAAGTAAACAGGTCGGGTTCAGGTTGGGGGGTCCTGACCCGTTTATGTAAACAGGTTGACCTGAACCCAACCCGACCCGACCTGCTTGCCAGCCCTACTCAAAACGCTGCGTTTTGAGGCGTGGTGAGCAAAAAAAACGCTATTGCCAGCGTCGCACGTGGGGCCCATTCATTCTTGGTTTGATTTTAATTTTGCCCAAACTTTGATCAAAAAATGTTTTGCCCATGGGCATTTTTTATTTAGCCCATTGATGGGGACTTTTATTTTTGGATTAAAACCCAAAAACTCCTCATGGACATTTTTCTCCCCATTGGTGAGAGTGCTCTTAAATGTACCCTATGTTGAATTAACCACCCATTTTTTAAAAAATTAAAAAATACCACCCCTAATTTACCACCCCTCTTATATTCCGGCCAGTTTTCTGATTGAGGGTTCATGGGCCTTCACTACAACAGTCCAACACAACCTCCTTGTCGGCAACCAATCTTCCCCCAACTGTTGGCAAACTAAATCGCCTAAAAACCCCAGCCTCGGGCCCTCCTCCACCCTGAAAATCACATCTTGTTGAACAACCCCCGGAGAAGCACCAATCGCTCCCCATTCACTCGCCTGAAAACCGTAACATATCCCTAATCCCTCTCCTAAAACTCGTATCCCCACCCTTCGCCTGAAATCGAAACCCTAAGCCACCCTCCACAACCCTGTAATCCCCTAATAGCCTGAAACTCCTCACCTGAAACCCTAACTCCGAAACTATCCTAAAACAAGGAGGGGGGTTGAAATTGTTGAGGGGGAAAGGAAGGGGGCCGAAAATAAGGCCGGAAACAGAAAGGAGTGCTAGAGACGGGAAAAGAAGGGAGTGCTAGAGACGGGAAAGGGAAGAGAGGTGCCGGAGATGGCAGGGCTGCTGCGCCACCGGAGGTGGCATGGATGAGTTTCAATTTTTTTTTTTTGTAGTTTATTTTTTTATTATAAAATACTAACTCAAAAATTGGCCGGAAAACTGGTCGGAATAGTGGTAGGGGTGGTAAAACCTACTGGTTTTGTAAATTAGGGGTGGTATTTTTTAATTTAAAAAAAAATGGGTGGTTAAATCAACATAGGGTACAATTAGGGGCGGTTATTTACAAAAAAATCCTTTATTTAATTTTGTTTTTAAATATAGCTAATATATGCACCTGTGGCCTGTGCACAGTTGCACATACAGATACTGGTTTGCTTAAGTCCACTTTTGATGCTTGTTCGGATGTTCTTGACATAGTGGATTCGATCATCTCACCGGAAGACAATGCCTTGCTGCAATTGCATTATTTGGAGGAAGTTTTTGCGGCCTTGGGGCAAATGCAACCCTGTCCTGTAAAAAACAGGCATCTTTTTTTTTGAAAAAAAAAGCTCTTGGGTTTCCTTTGCAGCAAACATGAACTAAGTTTGTTTGTTTGATCCATTTAATTGAGCACACTTGGTTTTGATCCGTTTGAATCAAAATCTATTGCTCCGTTTGAATCAAAATCTAGCTTGGGTTCTCTATCTCAGTTTGAGTTCATTACCCACAAAACCCAGTATATACACATCCCCCATTCCCTCCCTCGTTGTACACATTAAAAAGAAATTGTTATTCTATGTGAATCATCAGTACATAGGAGAAAAAAAAAATATTTAATGGAGATGTTTTGAGATAAAAGACAAATTCAAATTACAATGAGTGGTTAGAAATGAATTTTCAATAGGTGATTACATGGGAACTTCAATTAGTGTGATTAGTTATCAAAATTCAAAAGGAACTCATTCCTTCAACAATCCCAATTCCCAAACTAGACAAGTAGCAGGGGAAGAAGGGAAGTACAGTTCTGAGATGCACAAGCTTGTTCTCGGATACAGATATATCAACAGATGGCTTCTCCAATTTACAAAGTCGACATGAATTATGTACATTTACAAAAGGACTAATTATACAGATATATAGTACATAACCTTGTTAGTAAAAAAAAAAAATTAGTTTCTCGGATGTTTCAAACTAGGCTCAGCATCAGTTGTATCTGGGGTACCGCATCGTTTTAGATAACCATCAAGTGTTTTCTGCTTCATAGGGCTACAAGTAGGCGAGCTGTGTAGTGTTTTCTGCTTCTGAGGGCTAGAAGAAGGTGATCTGTGTGAGCTAAGTATTTTCTGCTTTGCAGGGCTAGATCTTGGTAGGTTGCTTGAAACTTCCATGGTATTCTCTTGTCCGTCAAGAACCTAATATGTCCATGAAAAATTACAAATCCAGATTTCATTTTAGCAACAAGAAGCAAAAAGTGCGAAGGAGATACAAATAGACATGCAATTGGCAGAAAAACAAAACCTGTCCAAGATTTTCTAGTTTGCTCTGAACAACGTCCCTTCAATATAAAGACAAACAAAAAAAAGTACTACATTAGTTAGCATCATCGTCATTTGATCATTTAATAACTCTACTAAATTCAAGATTCATATTATAATGCAAGTCACATCATACCAGATAATATCATCAACAGTATCATTTGCTAGAAGGTAATATACGTTGACCGAAGAGACCTAGCAGAATGGGAGAAAAGGCCATGATTAGGAAGTTTTGGCTAGCTCTAAAAGTACATTAATGATATAAGGCAATAATAACTGAATATTGACTATTATAGGAAATGTGAGACTGGTTGAATACAGAGAATTTATAAAAAAAAAAAAAAAAAAACTCTTCTACTTTGCTGAATTAGTTACCTGGCCGATTCTATGAGCACGATCTTCGGCTTGTATCAAGTCACCAGGGGTCCAAGATAACTCAGCAAAGATAACTGTGCTAGCTGCTGTTAGAGTTAAACCAACACCTCCAGCTTTAATTGACAGCTGAAAGAGAAAAACAAGAAAATAAATCTTACAAGTTAGCCTTTTAAAAAAAAAAAAAGGTAAGAGTTGTCATACAACTGCAGCCTTGATTGCTTCATTTTCCTGAAATTCTGTAACCAAAGATTGTCTTGATGCTGCAGGTGTACCACCATCGATGCGAATGCAGCCAACCTTTTTCTTCTGGAAGTTCAACCAGGAATCAAGAACATGTCAACTTACAAAATATAATTATATAGCACATACAAAGTACATAATAAGAGCCTTCCCCCCCCCCCCCCCCCTCAGAATGAGGTCTTGTGGTTTTATTTCTATTAGAAATCCTCCTGGCTCCAAGGAATGGGGAATATAGGCCTATGAATTTGATAAATTACGGAAAACAGGAGTCAAGATTTACCTGTAAAAACTGGTGTATTGCTTCAATCATAGGTTGATGGTGCGCAAATATTAGAAATTTACATCCAGCCTGGTTCAATTAATCCAAAAGGAAAATATGTAAGCAATATGAAAGAATCATCACAAAAGCTAACATACCCAATATATGATAAAGAATAAGAGATCGAGAAAATTAAAAGAAAAGGACTACAACGAAACACTTGAAAATGGCCAAAGGGAATAAATACCCACAAGGTGATAGCTTCATGGAAGAGAAGCCAAAACAAACTGAAGAATAACGCATCTTTTTATTTATTGTGTAAATAGAAGTAAAATCACACAGATTGGCAAAATAAATAAATTTAGAGTAATCCTGTAAATTCCTGATCCTTGTTTCCCTCCTTTAATTTATTCTTATTTCAATAATAAACTCACCTCAATGACTGTTCCCAGGTATTCCTTAACTGCTGGAATCTTTGCTTCTGCAGAATCAGTATATATCTGTAGAATAGCAAGGTTAGATCGAAAAACATAGAGTTACTTTACATAGCTAAAAGATGCAGCTAAATGTGACTGTGTTCATGAATCCTAGTAGGAATAAAGCAAAAAATGTACCTTATTAATCAAACCCTTTTGAGTAAATTTGAGAGACTCTTGTTCATCCTTGGAACTGCTAGCTTTAATCCTGTCTTTCACCACCCCCAGCTATAAGAAAAGACATGAAAGTTTTGCAGTGTTCAGAATATTGGAATTTCTCACTTGATTGCTAAAGCATTAAACAGAGGAAGTGGTAAGAACAATGTACTTCACTACTTATTAGGGTCCTTGGGAAGGGTACTTTTTTTTTTTTTTTTTTTTTTTTTGGGGGGGGGGGTGGTGTGGGGGGAGGGGAGGATGGCACAAGGCTCTAGAGGAGTCCTTGTGCATCTAATGTAACATACAACACTACAAAAATTTCAAAATTCATTTGCGACAAGTATCTAAATCAACAATAAATAATCACTGTGCATTTAAGCTTGAAAGCTAATTCACACCATGAAATGATGCATTACCTCAAGAAACAATGCTTTAATTTGTCTCAAGTCTTTTTCAGCCAGATCCAGAAAGACCTAATAATCACCATGCAAGGTCCTTCAGTCATTTACAAGTAAATTGAAGATCATTTATTGTATCAGAGTCCAATAAAAGGATAAACAAGATATAGCTGAATTATATAGCTTAACATGTAAAATTCATTCACCAGTACCAAATTTAACCCCTTTTCTATAGAAAAGCCAAAAGAAGTCTTCATGAGCAATCCATCAAAAGGATTTTTTGAACACATAATTAATTAAATGGGCAAAAAACATCAGAAACCAAAAGGCATTGGCAGCACTGCAGCAGTGTGGTGCAGGCTAGACAGCAGCATTACCTGCTGCCTACGTTTTACAGGAAGCTCATAAAGAACATCCTTCTTCAGTCTGCGTATCATGAGTGTTGCTTTCATTAAATTGTGCAATTCTTCATGGTTACTTGAACCTTGGTATAATCCAAATACTCCCTGAAAATTAAGGAGAAATTTACATGGCTCATCAAAGTAAACAAATTCGGATGCTGAGGCATGTGTTAAGCAAACAAGTGAATCACTTACACCCCTGCAATATCGGTTTCCATAATCATGGACATTCTTGTAAACACTAGGATAGAGGGATTCTAGCTGTATCCAAATAAAAATAAATAAATTATAAAACTAAGATAATAAAATAACTAAAAAAAACTCTATAGAACAAGAAAAGAGCCAAATTAAGATAAAGTATCAAGCATGGGTAGATAGAGAATCACCTGCTTGAATAGCTCGATTGGCCTTGACAGAGCAGGAGTTCCACTAAGCAAAATTGCATACTGTGCTTTCTGAAATTGATCATAGAAGTTTCACAGGTCAAAAACAGAAAGAAAACACGGGCAGGGAGTATAATGCAGCTCTTCCTATAAAATTGATCTAAAGGGAAGAAATAGACCCCTATAACTGGGAGAGAGGCAGCTGTCCTCTTTGCTTGAGCATTTTTCAAATAATGCGACTCGTCTGCAATAACAACCTGCATAAATACATAAATTCCAGAGGTGCTTTCTTTATTATTTATTTATTGAACTTTTATAATAAGGTAAATTCATTAACCACAAATAATGAAAGAATAGAAAATACAAATTTCATCAAAGGCAAGGGTAGCAGAAAGCTTTACATGTTCCCAATTCCACATCAATGATTTTATTCTTTCAGGCTGAGGGAAGAGAGGGAGCTAAGAAACCAATACCAGATATAATGAGCAAAGTGAGACTCACAATCACTAGTACACTCAAATGAATTGTGCAATACATAGTCTTTGTATCTATAGTGCTAAAACCCTTTACAAAAACTACTTAAATATGTACAGTAACTAGCTTTTCCTAAACAATGTCACAAGCAAATATTCCCCTAAACTACAATTCATTCCTCAAAAAGTAAATTAAGAGGTCTGCGCATGCCAAAAATAAGCTTAGGAAGGATTTTGATCTCCAAGAAACTTCTTTATGAAACCCTAATCAGTCAACTCCAGAAAACTAGATTTTTATCTGCCAAAACTTTCCCAAGCTTCTAAAATAGGTTTTCCTGAAACACATTCCCTAGGCACCAAGAAATATCAAGCAATACCCTGTTGTGTTGATTAAATAGGTTTGTAGGCTCATTTGCGCTGTAAAAAATAACACTGGTTTTTCATGCCTGCTCTCTTAGTTCATGGCTTTACTATGCCCATGCTCCAGCAACACCATGCTCATTGATTGAAAAAAAAACAGAAGAAGAAGATGCAAAATAAACCAACACTGCCAACACATATTAAAAACTACTGTAAAAACCACCGCCTTTAACAAAATTTGTACACATGTGCATCAAAGAGTAACAGTTTATACGTAGTAACTAAAAATAAAAATATAGTCACCACATGCAAGCTTTTTTTTAAGAAGGCGTGAGTGGGGAGGATAGGGGAATACTATGAAATTAAGGCACCATATATCATATTTCAACATACGCAAAAAAAAAACAGATATATTCACCTTAAACTCTGATGCCATAAGAGTCCCCTGTAGCTTGGGAACAGAGTCGTAGGAAACAATATTGAACAAACCATCAAGACGAGCAGTCCCCTTGGCTGTGGACACCACTGAAAAACCCCCTCTATTTGATCCCGAACATTGAGATAATAACACCTGCATATTATTCAAGTCAGATCCCAAAACAAAGAGGCACACATTTTCCCATCCCCAACAAGGATAATCACAAACAATAACAGGCAACCAAAGAGCAGTCAAAATCTGATGAAAAAATGCAAGCTTATTGAGAAAACATAATATAACATGAAAATGATGAAACAATAGGATGATATAGTTATACATAAATAAACAAGAAAAATTCACCTTCTCAACCAAATCAGAAACAAGTAAGCAAATTTAGAAAGCAATACACACATATACGTCCATACAGATATGGAGAACAAGAATCTTCAATCAAACAAAAGAAATTCATTTTATCTTCACCAAAACATAAATTAGAGTATGCAAGTTTAGGTATCATTGATGCCTTCTATTCCTATAGGGAAGCCTCTTCCTCTCACTCTCGTTCACGGAGAGGTTGGAGGGGTGGGATAACATCTATGTAGATAGCAGGTATTGTCCCTTTTTTGAAAAATTGTCTTCTGAGTTCTGAGCCTCTGAGGAAGAGAGTGTAGGACTGGTTTTTGTAAGAAATAGAGTCAACATGTCCCCAATTGAAACTTATGTAAAATACCTCCCCCCAAAATCTACAAAAATTGGTAAGCCAATACATTGTTTCAAACTGCAAGGGCAAAATGATGTCCAAAACAAGTGAAGCCTAAATAACATTTGAGTTTGAGACCTGGTGCTTATTCCACACTTTAGCTCTCCTGATATTACAGGCCAACACTGCATAACTTTTGAGATGTTATTATTCACAAATGCCTCTTTTGAGAGCTTGAAATGTGATTATTCAATGTAAAAGAAAAGCGCAAACGACCCAAACATCCAACGCATAGAATTATCAAGAAACCAGCTGCAGGATACTCTACCTCCCTCACCAACAAAAAGTAGGAGATTCAAACAAGAAAATTCAGAGAAGTATATAAGAAGTATACATACAACAATATCTGACGGAGGAATCTTCAGCCATTCATGTATCATCTGTCAATAAGAAGAACCACAATAGAAAAAAGGATCTCAGTTCTGAGTTCGCCTACATTAGGCTAGTGCAGCTACATTATAGTTGGATATACTGCAAAGTGAGAACAGGCCATTGCAGTAAGACTACCATACACATGAAAATTTTGTGAATATGTTATAGCTGCCACAGAGAATAGTTATTGCTTTTAAACAGAGATCCAGTTGTTATAATATGGATTTATACATTCATACATACAGTAGCTACAGTAGTTGTAGTTAAGCTCTATGTATGTTATAATATGCTATTATAGTTTGATGAAGACACGAATGTATCTGCAGTGCAATACAGTTTTCAGTTTATACTAAAACACCAATGATAGTACTCACAGAAGCCCAATGCAAACGCAAAGAAGAAGGTGTAAGCACCAAAACAGGCCACGCTTCACGGACACATAAGGCTACAGCAATTGCCTGCAGAAAATGGCATCCAAACATTAATATTTTGAATAATTAGCAACCACTTAACTCTATATTTTTGCAACGTTAACACAGCTTGGAAGCTCACTTTCAAACAATAAAAGGTAAAACAATACCATGCGGTAATCAAAGTAGAGTTCCCACCCATAACAAACATGAAACATGTATAACTGAACTATGCACTAACATTTGCGCACCTTGATGTTCATGTAAATTACAAATCCATGCTCAACCTTTGTTAAACAGACTCCGGCCATATCAAATATGTGCGCATAACAATTTACCCTCAAAATGACTTTCAGACAACATAAAGGATTCATTTATTAAAGGTATCATCATGACATCATTGTCTCAGCAGCTTAAAACAACAAAGTTTTGATTAGTATTCGGAAAGTGTAACGGTATGTGATATGCTTTGTCCTTGCAGGGAATGTTGGTTTACCCTCCCCCTGAAGTTTATAACCCAGTTTTTTAAAATTGTGAAGGAAATAAAAGCAATGAAAATGCTTTAGCAATTTAACTTGAGAGAATGATTAATTTTACGAATTAAACCATATTATAATCTTTTTGTCCAATAGAACGGATGCATATCGCCAAGGACCATCATTCAAAAGTCAAAACAATCTAGTGAATAAGGCAGGCAGCTTTAGTATTAGCATACTACAACTTAAGAGTCCTGTGGACATTGCACATTTAGGTCGAAATGAGAAAGGAAAACAGCAATCAGTGAAATCAATACACCAATCAGGCAATTATCACGATGACCAACAATATTGTTCCCATCACATAAAAGTGATAATCGGCATCAAATCTTGAAAACAAATGCTGCTTCTAATTATCTTGTCAAAGTGGGAGCTATACTAAGGCGATCAGCATATTGAGAAATATAAAGCCCATTGATGGAATTACTACAAGTCATGCCTTCATCCATTTTCAGAGTAGCATATAAAAACAATTTGTATACAAATTACAAGCCTTCAGAGTTCACACACAAATTACATGAAACCTCCAATTACCTGTAAAGTCTTACCCAGACCCATTTCATCTGCTATAAGAGCCCGACCTCCCCTCTGCAACACAAACCTGATAAATAACAGCATTATGAATCAGAAATCAGCTCCTTACTACAGTAGTACAGGGTCTTTAGCAGGTCTAAGAGCAAGAAACTTGATTGAAAAAAGACAAACGGCAAAGCTGTTGTAAAATTGTAATTAGAAAAAGGTCCTTCTTTAAGCAGTACTACATGGACATAATATCTTCATATAGGTTTACACAGAGCATTATCAGAGTCATCTACAGTCTGCAAGTACCTGACGCCCTCCCGCTGAAATGGTAGAAGCTTCGTTTCTATATAGCTTGGAATATTGTCATATCGATCTTGCAAAGTAAAAGATTAAGTATATTATTATAATGCGCACTAAATAACACCCGAAACATGAGCTAAAAGATAAAGAATGTCTTTCCAGTGCATAGACAGATAAAAGACAACCAATCCACAGAGATTTTCTCATTCTCTACTCTTGAAATCAGCAAAGCAGTAATATACCTTGAGTCATCATCTTATGCACAATTAACCAGTTCCTAGAACAAGAGGGGGAAACTAACCAGAGATAAAATCATTAATTTTCTTCAAAACAGGGGCAAGACCGGCACCCTTTGTCCTCCCTACTAAATGAGAAGACGGTAGACAAACACAATCACAAACATTCTACAAAGAGGCTACAATGACACTCACACAAATATGTTGAAATATGTTAATTACATGAGCCAATGATCGTTATATTAATGCAGCAAGTAATCTTGTACCATTGGGCTGAAGACCTGAAGTCACCAAGAAACCTTTTAAAATGGTTGGCTATAATATATTTGAAAAGATTAAACCCATCCATATTTCTAGGAAAAGACACATGGACCCTCCTTCAATGAAAGATTATCTAAATTTTAAAACTCACTCGGCACCAAACCATGCAATGGCTTTTCTCCCTATATACTGTAAGTTATTTTCTTTCAACCAAGAGGACAAATATATTTTATAGGCTATGATGTGATGTCAAATTGTCAACAAAGTTAATCATTGCTGGCCATATCAACCAGAAACCGGTGAACATTGGTTTTAAATCTCAATTTTGTTTGTAATTGTGCTAAATATTTGGGAAAGTACGGCATCATGAAAGACACATGAACCCTCCTTCAATGAGAGATTATCTTGGTTCAAAAGCTTCATGCAGGGCTCACTATTATTTTTATATTTTTTATTTAGCTGTACCCTTGCAATAAGAATCCTGACAGTTCTCCTATGGTGATTAGTTGATGTAGCTAAACTAGAATTTTAATGCATCTGCATTGTACTGTTATGCATCTAGAATGTGGTTTCGCTAATATCTGTAACATATTTTTAATGTATCTGGACTTCTGATGCTTCTCACATTAATTACGCTTCTCTCATCTCTCCACTAAGTATGCTTCTCACCAGAGAGAGAGAGAGAGAGAGCAAAAAGAGTACAGCATTTCACAGCACAATGCCAATCAAGATTCACCTTGAAGATCCGGAGCAGCTGTTGCAGCAGTTATAGCTCTCCGAACTAAGGGGTCCAGATTTTCCACCTAGAAGTCACAACACGAAAGTGCATAAAAAATTAGCTGATTCTCGCCTATTTATAGCATTTCTAAATAGATATCCATTGTGAAAGAAATATACTTCGTACTTTATTAATGGACACCTTTAACCTAAGGGAACAACAATAAAAAACTAATGACTTATATAAGCCAGAAACAAAAAGAACCATGAGACCAATATTCCTTTACAGTTTGAACTTTGTAACAGCCACTAAATACATCAGACATAGAGGAAATACTTCACCTCAATTTTCAACCCTGGAGTTTCCCTGAGAATGTCTTCAGCAGTTGACAAAGAAGACAGTGGAATTATCCATAGCCTGCCATTTCAGCACCATATCATAGAGCAAGTAAGCACCAGGTCCTTAAAAAAGAGTGAAACACATAAAGAAGAAGAGAAAACCTCTCTTTTGCATTCCAGGTAGCTTTAGGAATCTTCTTGACAGCATTTATAAGAACCTTGTGAGCAATAGCAGTGTCAGATACAACCTTGAGAATGAAGCAAATAACTGGGACGAATAATGGCCAGCATACCTGGTTATACGGAAACCTGATAGCTATATTTCCACTAGCATGAAGAAAGAACTTGACAGAATGCTTTGGTTCCTCCTTTGAAGAGTCATCTAATCAGACATCAAGAATTAAAGCAACATCGAAGTATGTTCTTAAGCCTGTAAAATGCTCATATATACTGTAGATTAAAAAGCTCGTGTTGTGACATAAAACAGCCATAATTTTCTGTGGAACTCCACTTCCAGCAAGCCACAGCCATATTATGAGTGTAATTTAGGCAGTATATACTCTTTGTACTTTATTGATTTGCACAATTCTGCTGCACTGAGCTATTATTCACCTTGTAGTAACCATAGAACTTTAACTCTGAACCTTAAGCATAGCTATTGTTTTTTTCAGGTTTCAGCCCATGCAAATCATCACAAGTGGAAAATGTGCTTGAGAAACAAAATTGAATTAGCATGGACGAATTTTTTATAGCAACTCACCAGCTGTTTTTGGTGCAACGGACGATGGCAAGACTCTGGACCCTGAAGGACCATCCGCCTGGATATCAGAAGATTGACACAAGTGCATTATCTTATGCAACAGATAGGGTGAAACTAGCAGTAATAAAGCACAATAGTAGTATTTTAAATACTAATTATCCTACCCTTTTTCATTCTTCTTCTCCACCTTATAGTTATATGAATAAAGAGGAATTATCATCCGGTAGCATAGACGTTTTCTTTTATTTCCACCGCACATTGTAAGAAAAATGAAAAGTGGAATCATCACCTAGTAGCACCAAACTTAGCTATAAACCATCCTCAGCTTTTTACCATCACTACTATTCTATTAGACATGCATCACCACCATTCCCTTTTTCATATGATTCAAACTCAAGTGTCAGGCCTATAGAATAATCTACAACATTTCCTCAAGTCATTCTAGATTACAATGTTTTCCTTTCCCTTTCCCAATGTTCTATTCTGGTACTCAACTCAAGTTTTCTCATTTCATTATTCTCTCTACTTGTGCACAGTACTAATTCTAGTTTAGCTTAATGCGAACATTCTACATTTGTAAAATACATAATTACATATTTGACAACCAAAATCTGTATTACAATTCAGTCTGTCATGAGCACAAATGGATAGAGACTAACATATGCTAGCACACAATTCACACCTTCCCCTCTCCTAGAGTCTAATATTGATGAAAAAGCCCCGTCAAAGATGACTTATGACATCTCTACCAGATCCAATTTTCTGTTCTATGAAGCATCCATCTAATCATGTACTCCCTCCGTCCCATAATATAGTTCCTGTTTTCTTATTTTTGGAGAACCAAAATGTTGTTCCTGTTTCTATTTTTGAATAGTATGTAAAGTCTACTATACCCTTACTTTTTTAACTTTATTCATTGTATTTCCTAAACTACCCTTGAATTTTGCACATGCTTTGTACTTTTTTCCACTTTTTCTCTCTAATTTTTGTTTATGATTGTACTTTTCATTTTTATTAAATGTACTTTATCACTTTCTCCTCCTATTTCTTAAATACCGTGAAAAAATACAAACAAGAACTATATTATGGGACGGAGGGAGTATATACTCTTTCAACAAATACATTGAAATTTTATTTTACTGAAATTTTTTTTAAAAAAAAAAAGGTCAAAGAACCTCGATCACTACAAGAATTTCATTGATGTCATTGAGGGATCCAAACATCTTTTTTCACTATGTGCTACATTTTTGCTTCTTCCAGAAAAATTTCAAGAGATAACTCATCATGATATTCCACCAAAATTAGGAAGCTTTACAAGAAAGTTCATTAGTATAGAAGTTCCTATAAGTATGATGCACCTGGTGATATGACAAAAATATCTATTTCTACTAGCACTATTGTTATGAAGCTATTCAAAGTTTTACTTGCTAGGCTTCGCTCCATTCCAACTATTCACAAAAATCAATTACTCGTACTTCGTATATAATTAACAAACCAGTGTATTCTCTTTCACAATTACATGCATGATCATCTATATAACCCTTTCAAATAACAAATATACTACTAAAATTTCGACAACCCAAAACAACCCTTATTCAAATAGTATTGTTATGAATCTCCTCGTTTAATCAATAAGTACTATCAAATGGGACAAACAAAAAGCAACAGAAGGAGTGATTGCTACAAAATTTAAACATTACATAACACTCATTAAGAGTAATTGCAACAAAATATATACAATAAGTAACATAACTCTTATGAGCTAAAGGGCGATCATCTCACTAATATCTTGACTTCACTCATACCCACCTCTCCCAAAAAGCAGAAAATTCAATTACAAACCCAAAATTTCACAGAAAAATACAAATTAAAGGGAATTCAACAAATTAACTTATTTTTTTTCATGCTACCAAAATTCAAAAATTCAACAAAATTCAGCACAGTTAAACCCTTAAACACCCCTTACTCCAAAAAAAAAAAAAAATTAAAAAAAATTAAAAAAAAATCAAGGAAATTCAGCAAATTTAAACTAAATTTTTTCATGCTAGCAACATTAAATTTATTAACGAAATTCAGTACAATTAAACCCTGAAACACCCACTACTCCAAAAAATTACAAGAAATTGAGGATAAAACTAATTACCTGAGTTTGAACCCTCGAAGAATCCTTGAATGACTGAGTAGAAGAAGAGGGGAGAGAATTTGGTAATGGCGGAAGCTGCGAATTGGCGCCGGAAACGGTAGGAGTTGTCGTTGTTGTAGTCGTTGATGCAAAATTAGTAGTAGAATTGGAATTGGAATTGGAGTTTTTGCGAAGAGCAATTTGACGAAGAGCGTCTTTTTCGAGGGATTCGAGTTGTTCAGCACTCAAATCCCATTCATCTAACTCCATTTTTACACTTTCTCTCACTATCTTCTGCTTCTGCTGTTATTCAGTGTTTATGCAAAGTTCATTTATTCAAATTAAGAGTGTTTTAAAGTAGTAGACGCTTTAAACTGCGACGTCTTTTTCTTCTTTTGTCATTTCAAAAGTGTAACCCCCGTTAAATGCTTTGCTATCCCAAATAGTAAAATACTACCTCCGTTACAGGTTATGTGCAACGATTAGACATTTTTCTTCTCTGCTTTATGTCTAATCGTTACACATAACCTGTAACGGAGGTAGTACTTAGATGGCTCGTGGCACGCCCTAGTAATAAAAATGACCTCAAAAGCATTAGTATGTATGACGCACTCAACTTGTTTAAACAAGTTTACTTTTAAAAGGAGTATTCTGTAGAGCAAATTCAAGTTTATCAAAATGAGAAACGTGAGTTGTTTATTAATGGACAAAGTAGTACTTTCATCTGATAAAGTAGGGGCAATAGTGTCATCAAAGATAAACGTTGTTAGGTGACGACGTTAGGTAAAATTTGTCATAATATTTCTCTCTCTTCCTTTTAATTTCTCTCTCCTCTCTCCTCTAATTTTTCTCTCTTCTTTACTTCATACGAGTTGAGCTACCATCCATCTTTAAAGACAATTGGAGGTGGGCCACAAAGCCCACAACTACTTGAGAACTCAAATCATTGGAGTTGTACAATTTCTAAAAAATTCGAACCTTTCCACTAATGGTTAACCATACCATTCTTTTCACCCTTTTCAATTAGGGTTTTTGTTTAGATCAAAACTGTCGATAATGTAGTGGTGAAAGTGGTATGGTGTTCACTAGCTATGAATGGTGAAAGTAAATGGAGGAGCAGTAAGTAGGTGAAGGATGAAGAAGAGATGTTGCTTTAGAAGTTACTGTCACGTTAACTTTGCTGTTACTAAGATTTATAAATGTCAGCTAGCAAGTCAGAGAAAATATATTATAAAAATACAATTTACGGAAAACGAGGCAACTTACTTACTTCTTTGCCATTTTATTAACAAAAAAAGTTTATCATTTTGAGTAACCGGGGCATCCTCTATTCTATGTTAGCATTTTTTTTTATTTTTTTTTTACAACAGAGGAAGCACAAAAAAAAACACAAGACTACTACTTATCTCTAGTCATACTTGCTAGATTTTATGTAGTCTTACATGAGATACAACTACCGCAAAAATATTTATTATTAGAAATAAAAACACATAAACTATTGTTAAGCCTCTTCCTTGGATGATCGAAGAGATTTCCGAACGTACCACCTTTCCTCTTCATACCTGTATGAAAACTAGATTTAATGATAGTATAGGCATAATTAGGTTGCAAACTCAAGCTTGAAAGTGTTGGTTATGGATTCAGAGAAGCTAGCAAACTCTCCTATTTTGATGATTGAGAGTGTTGGTCATGGCTTTGAAGAAGCTTTTCCTCCTCAATTTGCTCTTGAATGATGAAGGATGACTGATGCTTTCCCCTTGGAGCTAGTAAACTATTATCTTTCACTTCATGACTATGAACTTGATACTCACTCTTGTTGTAAGAATTTCATGCGATGAGTGAACATGCTCTATTTCCTCATTGACAGAGGAACTTTTATTATCATTGACTGATGATGACATGTTTTGATTGATGTCATCATCTGGGAACACACTCGAAGTTGGTATCGAGTGAAAGACCACAGCTTCCCTCAAACCATGTTTGTGGGGGGTCTCCATCATGAATTCATGATATGATCTTTTGGGGTGAAGGTACTGACCTTCAACATTGACAATGAATGTGGTTGATAAAGCCACAACTCAATCCCTTACCTCAACTTATCTATATTTGCACGGGCAATTCTCAAGCAAGATAAATTTTTTTGATTAACGAATGCCACCTTAAAACTAGGAAGGTCAAAATTTGAACAACACCTTGAATCAGAGCCTTTCAAGTTGTCAACATCCATGGGAGATCTATCTCCCATATTATATAACTCATGGCTACCATTTGAATAGTCTTTGGTAGCTTCAACCTCTGACTTATCAACAGTAGCCTCCACATTCCACAACAAGAAAATGGCCTGTTTCCGACCGAAATTTTCCCTCGCTGAAGGCTCTAAATCCGTCGCAAATCATGTTTGCGACAGAATTCCGTCGTAAAACCTTTGGTAGGAAATTCTTGAATTTTCGAGGAATATTCCGTCGGAAAGGTGTTTTCCGACGGACTTTACGACCGATTTTAATCCGTCGCGTAACATATTGACTTTTTAGTTTAGTCCGTCGCTAATTTGCGACGGAAATTTCTGTCGGTGTGCTGTTTACAACGACGGATATTTCCGTCGAAAACAGTAATTTCCGACCGAAATATTCCGTCGTAAACTTTATTTTCCGATCGAATATTTCCGTCGCTGGTAGTGTATTTTGCGACGAAATTTATTCCGTCGCTGGTCTACGACCGAATAATCCGTCGGAAATGGAGGTGAGTTCCGACGGATTTAACTCCAGTTTTCCGTCGCAAATGAAGTACTTCCGACCAATATAATTCCGTCGCAAACTGCTTTTCCTTTCTAACAAAAATATTAACAAATATTATTATAATTGCGTATGTTCCTGCACCAAATACCTGTGATATTTAAAACTATTATCAAATTGCGAAAATATTAATAAATATTATTTTCTCAAAAGTTATATATATACCAAAGGCTACATAATATATAGTAAGATCTACAAAAGCGGGAACATAATCAAACGCTACACTTACCGGCGGCTGACCAACGAAAGACGGATCTCCGGCTGCGGCGAACGGCTGGGCGACGTTGACTCTTCGACGGCGGCGGATCTTTCTTTCTTCTTTCTTTCTTTCCTCTCTGTTTCTTCCTCTCTCTTTCTTTCGAATTCGTAGCAAATGGACACCAACATCAAAACCCTTGAATTTTGTCTAATTAATTTTCCGACGGAATTAATTAGGTCGGAAAATATAGTTTCCGGCGGAATATTCCATCGTAAATAAATTTACGACGAAATATTCCGTCGGAAACTATATTTTCCGACCGAATTTAATTCTGTCGGAAACTTTGCGAGGAAATTTCCGTTAGAAACTATGTTTTCCGACCGAAATTAGCGTCAAACTTAAATCCGTCGTTGATTATAGGATTTGCGACGGAAAATCATGTCCGTCGGCATAATTCGGTCGGAAATTGGCCCATTTCTAGTAGTGTTCTTCTCTTCCTTAGACCCTTCCATTCTTGAGTCACGGTTCATTTTCTTTTCATTGACTGGGATTCTCTGATCTTCAAAACCCGGAAAATGCACACTTTCCTCAACCTTTATCTCTTTATCTCTTCACCATTAAGATTCCTAAGTACAATATTTTCCCATCTTGCCAATTTCTTCCCATTTTCCTTGTTTGTTGGTTCAATCTCTTTTGCTGATTTAAAACCATCATACACCTTATCCAAAGATCTTGACTTCTCCAACACTAATCCTCTTCTAAACAGAGCCCTCACATTATTCTTACTAAGCTAGCCTCCAATACCAATGGTACTAATGGATGTGTAGTGGTCGATTAGTGGTGGTGGTGGTCGTATGTATTGTGGTCGGATGGTCTTGCGATGGTCGGATGATGGTGTTAGTGGTGGTGCGGTAGTAGAAGACGATGCCAGTGATGATTCAATGGTGATAAAGGAGAGAGAAAAGAGATTTTTGCTTAAGAATTTACCAAAAAAAAAAAAGTGATATTAACATGTTATGTTGATATTAGATATGAACTTGTATTTTCTCCTTTAAAAGTATCACAAATCTAGGAAAATAACACAAAGACTAAAACCAAATAACAAAACCCCAAAAAGGTCGTGAGGATATATGCTAAATAAAAATTACATTCTCTATTATTATTTATTACCCCACCTTCATTACTAATTGCACTAGCTTTGCCACCATCACCAATAGCACTACCCACTGTGGAGTTAAACCCCCTCCTGAAAACCCACTATTACTCTACCTAAAACAACAATTCTTCTATAAGCAAAACAAAAATTATTTCTCCTATATTATTGTTGGCATATTTCATTACTTCTTTTAGGTGTGTGTTGTAAACTCATGATTCTAAATACAAAAGTCTTCAATTAGCTATAAACAAACGATATAAAACTATAATATTTGAAAGATAGGTTTTGATCAAATCTTCTAAAGATTTCTGATGACTATGTTTTTTACTTGAAAAGTTACATACAAAAGATGTCAAGATAATCTTTAAGAACTGAATGAATAGAGTGCAAAGCAAAATGTGTCAATTAAAATAAACAAATTATGCATGATATGTGTTTGTTTATATATATATATAGGGGAGAGATCCGGTAAGAACCCCTAGATATATAAGAATCCATCTCAACCGTAGGATTAAGTTGTTTTAGACGGTTAAGATTAAAACACGTGTCCAACTTTTTCAACCCCCTTACCCACCTCCCAACCTTTTCTCTCTCCTCTAACTTTCTCTGTCTTCTTCCCGATTCTCTCATTTTCTCTCTCCTAAAACCCCCAAAAATCTGATAGAAGTTGCAATTTGAAGGATTTTCGCTTCAGGTATGTTTTTCTTTTCGATTTTGTTCAAATTTTCATGAAATTAGCATGATGTTCAAGTGAATTTGCAGTTTTAATTGGTGATTTTTGCAATTTTTAGGGTTCGGATTTAGGGTTCTATTTTTGCGATTTTTAGGAGTCGATTTTTGCGTATTATTTTGTGCGATTTTTGAGTTGGATTTTTCGTATGGAGTTTGATTATTTTGAGTTCGAGTTTAGCAAATTTAGGGTTCGAATCTTTGCGAATTATTTTGTTCGATTTTTGCGAATTATTTTGTTTGATTTTCGCGAATGATTTTTGTTCATTATTTCGATCGATTTTTGTTCATTATTTCGTTCGATTTTTGTTCATTATTTTGTTCGACTTTTGTGAATTATTTTTGTTTGATTTTTGTGAAATATTTATGTTCGAAAAATTAGATCTGTCGATTATTTTTTTTTTGTTCGAATTAGTTCGATTTTTGCAAATTAATGTCAATTTTTGAATTTTTTTTGTGTATGTTTATTCGAACAATAGATCTGTTGCTGCTACGGCTATTACTACAGCCTCTTCTACTCTGCCTACTGCCCCTCCTATCTTCTTCAAGGTTAATTTATATATATTTTG